AAATCTGTTTATCAATTTCACGCTGCTCTGCGCGGGGGGGGGGGGACATCGCGGCGCGCAATGAACTGGAAGTTGATCTGTCAGCACTATCCTTATCTTCAGGGCAGATGTTTTTATTTTATTCGGCTTATAATTCCTTACTAAATGTAGTATTTCATCTCGATGTACTCCGTCTTTGATATGATTTAAATCAAATTCCTCATCATTATAAATATCACGAATACAAATCAAATAGTTTTCTGGTTGCAATTTTCTAATTTCGACTATGCGTAATGTATGCTTTACGCATGCGCATGTTGAAAGAAATGTTTAATAAAGTAAACAAATAAATATTAAGGTTTTATTTTGTAAATTTTGATATCCTTTAGATCATAATTGCTCTTTATTTCATAAATTACAGTTTCATATTTTTAATTTTATAATTTCTGCATGCAGTCTTACCAAATTTAAACTGATGATCTATAATCAAGAAAAATCGATACTCCAGAATTGCCGAAGTCCCGACCAGTCTGAATAAAGACTTTTGACTACATAAATAACGTATATATGTATCCACTCTGTTACTCGGCTCAGGTTATTTAGTCTTATATGTTTGCAAATTGTGCATTTTTTGCTTTAAAAATGATTGAATTATGTTGTTCTTATCTTCTGGTTAAGGGTTTTATGCCTTTAGTAAAACTGCATGCAATATATCTGTGGAGTTATCAAGAATTTAAAAGTTGTTTAAGTGCAGCTAAGCCTAATGAATTTTGCGATGGCAGACATGTTTATTTACATTTCAAACTTGGCAAAATAGCGGATTTGTTGCCAATCTAGAGAAACTAAGCTTCGCAACAACAAAGATAATGCCTTCTTTTATTATTGCGAATTAAATCATGCTTAATCCATTCTGGAATTTATTCGAGGAAATAAGGGTTTCAGATTTACTTCGTAATTTTTAATATAGATATTTTGAGTTTTTATGTATTTTTGCCTTGTCGGGAAGTGAGAACTGAATTAATTGAATGAGAAATACTGAATTGTCTGTGAAAAACTTTCTTTTTTGTTTGCTTATTTTATTTTATGCATCATTTTAGATTTATTATCGTATTTGAATAGAACATGTGGCAATGATTAGATAATTCTTCAAAGATATAAATTTATATGCATTCTGAGTTATAATATGGATGAAATGTAACACTGTTAAGTGAAGCTAGCATCAGAGTGTCGCTATGGTAAACAAATATAGTGAATTTTAAAAAGTGCATTTATTCTATTGTGGTTTATGCACTATCGACGATGTAGATTTAATTCAAAATAATAAGTTTAAATGAAATGCAAGAAAAAATGTGTATAATTTAATATTCCGTGCAAGGAAGTCATGTGGTGTACACATCAGATTTTTTATTTTAGCAAACATGTTGCGGCCACAAACAAGTTGGCAAATTAATGGTGCTTATTCCAAAAAGTTCACATTTTACATAAATTTGCTGTAAGATAGAAGGAGCAGAGAGACTGCAGTCCAACTAGGCCAAAGCGTAGAAAGCAAGTGTTATTGGCTGCTTGAGTTTTACAGGGTTGCCACTCAAACAGGAGAATGAAATTCCCTGACTTTTCCAGGTTTTCCAGGTGCGTTTCAAGAAAATTTTAGTCTATCCGCGTAATGTACGTTGGCTACGCTAAGAGGTAAATTATGGTATTACTTGTATTGTGTAGCAAATTCACTTAATTATTCAATAAATCCCAGAGGACATTTATTCTTAATTATTCTTGGTATACTTAGTTTGATAATTTTGTTTACTTTTCCACTTAAGAAACTTAATAAAATTTAAGATATATACATTGGATAACAAATTAATGTTTGATTTAATTATTATTCATGATCATCACCAGTTCAACACGAGGCTAATCCGGTCCTTATAAATCACAACGCAATGCTAAATAGTTAGGTTAGATTTTAGGTAAATTTAATTTGTGTGAGGTATGTTCTTAAAAAGCACCTTAACACTTGAAAATACAAATATAATTATAATAGAGTTGTTTGTTTCTCCATTGAAGATTGAGATTAGAATCTTCCCAATCTGGAATAAAATAAGGCTTTTTTTGCAGACATTCTGCAGCTAAACGAAAGAAAGAAATCTATTTTAATAAATTGAGGTATTTTATATTTAGTTTGCAGCATACATAAGAAAAAAATATGTGCATTAAATTTCGTGATGGTATGTCATCATGCTGCTAGAATTAATTTCAAGATTATGCCAGAGAAAATTTCCTGAAATTTAGAAATATCATTTACTAATAATTAATAAATTTAGAGGGAAGAAGCGTCATTAAATTATACGAATAACATAAAAATAAAGATAATTACTTAAAAATTGAATTAGAATAATCAACGATATTTTAGCGAATATAGTTATATTATATGGTTAGCCTAGATGACAGATTACTATTTTTTATTTTACTGCAAAATGGCAAGGTATTTATTAAAAAGAAAAGTTTAAAAAGATTTTGCGGTAAAATTCTAGTATACGGTAAGGCTTTGGCACGATTTTGAAAATTGTCGCCAAGACCAAAATGACCCGTTTACTGCGCATCATCATGTCGCCAAATCCATACATGGAGATTATTTTAACCAATAAACGTCTAAGCAAAGATTCTCTAATTCTTTGGTCTATGTAAAGAAGAAAATTTTCCATACAAGTAAAATGCTATTACGCCGCTAGAATGTGGAGGGAAAATTTGCCAAGGGATTTGGCGACGGAACCTGGCGGCCAGAATTTCCCTCTCCGCGATGTGTACAGGAAATTGAGAAACACGTGTTAAGAAGAAACGTTCTTTGACAAAAAGAAAGCTACGAAAATCCGTTTTTAAATTATTGCGAAAAATCCAAGAAGAAACGTTTTATCAAAGAACGTTTCTTCTTGGATTTTTCGCAATAATTTTAAAAACGGATTTTCGTAGTTTCGCCCCCCCCCCCCTGAAATTACTAACCTATGAATTAATTTACTTGCACCAAAAAATATTTTCTTTTAATTTAGAGTTTAACTACTTGCGCTAAGACTAAACTTCACGGTTGCGGTGCCGTGCGCTACAATATAGCAAGCGGTAAAGTGTCTCATTTACGCCGCTCCGCATCTGCGAGTGCAATCCAGAGCTGTAACTCGAGAAATAAACAATCTCGTTGTTAGGTGACGTGTGCACCATGTTATTTTCATTTTTGCGATAAATGCTTATCGACGTGGTGTTCCCGTCGCTCGCAGTTTGAAACAAAAACATCTCGTTTTTGTTTCAAACTGCGTGCATGCGAAAAACTCGACGTGCGTGCCACGTCTTTTTAGCGCAAGTGGTTAAAGAAATTTTTAAGGATATTCATTTAATGAACTCTTGATAACGTGACCTTCGAACTTCGACACCGGTCTCCAGCTTTGGCGGCAGATATATCATGCATGCACAGCTGTTTCCCTCTATGATGGAACGGTGCCACGTCTGTTGCAGAGAGGTTTTTCCTTCTTTACAATACATATTCTTTGATTCTAACCTCCATGGCACCATATACTAAGATTAAACCCATTTTGTTTTATACGAGAACAGGTACTTTCTTTAGTTCATGCACTGCACATGCGATTCTCGAGAATACTGGAAACCAAACCATTGTGGGAAACTTGCTTTGCCTTTCTAAAAGGCAATCAAATCGGAGCTGTGAAAATTGGCTCTATGCCAGCAGACACTCACGTGATAGGCAATTCGCCAAAAAAGTTATCTCTTCCGATGTCGGCGCAAAAATCGCTTTTTTTGGCGGGATCATTGTATGAACTTCCCTGACTTTTCCAGATTTTGACAAAAATACTTAAATTCCCTGACTTTTTTGGTCAATTTTCGAATTCCCTGACTTTTCCCGGTTTTCCAGGTAGTGTGGCAACCCTGGTTTTAGTTGCATTGAATTATGCAAGGGTCATTATGACATGGATTAATCTAGAAATGATGCAGTACAAAAAGAGGTTACTATTTTTAGAATTGAGTAGGGAAATTTACGTTGCTAATTTAGTCTTCTATGGAGTCTTTTTTTTTTTTTTTTTCCCTTACAAATATATTTTCCTTTAGCATAAAAAAAAAGATTTTATTGATTATATTTTCATTGTATTGCATTTTGCATGTTTCAGACAGCAATATTAAATATAAAAGTTACAATAAAAAAGAGAAATATAAAACAATTAATACTAATATCATAAAATTTCAAGTGGATTTATTAACTTTATTTATTTATTTATATAGATGCAAAGAGGTCAAGGGGTAAAAACGATGAACGCTGACTGCTAGATTCAATTCAATTTTTCGGGAACTAACTGGCTGCATGTGTAACATGAATACCAACCAATTTTCCTTTTCCAATTTCCTCCAGAAAGCCCCTTCTCCCTTGGGCAGACAGACAGACTTCTGTGCTTTGGTCGTAATCCAAATATTCCGACTTTTATTTATATATGCATATAAAGACAAGAACTGTCATAGGCATATAGATAACCTGTCAAAATATAGATCCTGTTATGCAGGTCACTTCTGCAGGAATTTAACTAGTATTTTTATTACACAAATGTTATTAAAATAGCATTTCTCATTATTACTTCACCATGGTGATGATAATATCATTCTTATATAAAAAAAAGGCTTATGCTGAAAAGTAATTCAGTGTCTCAGTAAAATATGAAATAAGATAAAATTCGATAATATAGATAAAACTAGACAGTATAGATGAATTGTATCGTATGATTATGCAAAATTATGCTAGCCCTGTTTGCCTATGTGGGAAAATAACATTGTTACAGACTATATTTATTATTATTTATTTATAATGTACTTCATTAAGCACTATACTGAAAGGGAGGGACCTTCATGAGGATGTTTTACGGAAACTGTCTCGTATCCATGTTACAAACGGGGAAAACCTCATAAATGCCCATGCAGCCAGCCCATTCGACCAAATTTCTGAATTAAATATCATTCACATTTTCTAAAAGTATACTTACGTGGGGAAATTTTGCCTGAAGGAAAAACAGCAAGCTCTAAAAATACTAAAGCATCTCGAACAGAAACAGGAACATCATTAGACACATCACTTTCAGCTGTCTGTGATAAGTCAACATAATAAACATTATTTCTTTCTTCATAAACCTGGAAAGAGGGTGGGGCAAATGATAAAAACATTAAGATATTCCTGTGCATATGAAGGAATGAGCTTTTAACAAGCAATTTCTTACCTGCATTGTTACAGGGCGACTGGCAACAAATTTAGTAAATGTTGTAATGGCTTCAATGGTCCAAGCTGCCTAAAAACAAATTTAATAAAATTAATTTATTTATTTACCCTCTTCATAACAGTTTGAGTTACATAAAATAGTAAAGATTTATAATTACTCTTTAAAATATAATAATTACTTTTAATTTTACTCTCAGTAAAATATGAAATAAGATAAAATTCCATAATATAGATAAAACTAGACAGTATAGATGAATGGTCCAAGCTGCCTAAAAACAAATTTAATAAAATAAATTTATTTATTTACCCTCTTCATAACAGTTTGAGCTACATAAAATAGTAAAGATTTATAATTACTCTTTAAAATATAATAATTACTTTTACTTTGTTTATAAATGTTTACTTACATCATTAATTGGTTTTATATCTACGAGGCTACATTCTTTAGCCATACCTGGCAAATTTAGAAAACGAGTTTGTATGTTCCGGAAGCTGGAATAGAAATTTCATTTAAATAACATTTTCAAATAAAATTTCATTCAAATAACATCAAGAGGGGAAATCAGTCCAAGACAGACAAAAACACATTATTAAAATAATAACAATAATGCATAAGTTCCTTCAGCAAATAAACCATTTTACAACAAAATATCAAATAACATATAATTTCAAATAAAAAACATTAACCTATAACATCAAATGTACTATTAATGTAATTCATTTTCATATAATTTCCTTTCTGCTGTACATGCTTGTTATATTTAATGGTACTTTGTACCTCTATTTTATTTTGTCATTATTAAGAGGACGATGGACATTCAAATACTTTTTTAAAAAATTATTCTTATAGAGAAATGAAATTTTGCATACATGTATATTTTGTCATATATATATACATGTATATATATATAAGGATTGTTCAAATGAAAGAGCCATTGCTGTAATAACTCCACCATTTGAAGAGAAAGACCTACAGAGGGCGCTGAGTGCTGGGATTGCATGGGATATCGTCAGGTCCCACCAGATGTGTGTGTGATAGCGTCAGAGCACATTAAGAGGCATTGTTCGCATCATGGATGCCTCCAAACAATGTCACCGCGCAGACGTGCAATTTTTAACAGCGAGACATGCAAGTGCTTTGAAATCTATCATCGAATTCAAACTGTGTATGGCATGGAGTGCACGAAACGCTGATCAGTATTCCGATGGTGAAGGGATTTTCGTAGTGGAAGAAGCAGTACTGATGACAGGCAAAACCCTGATCAAGCGCATGTGGTGATCACCCAGGAAACATTATTGCAGGCACACTTCCTATGCTCATAGACATTTCCTCCATTATTTCTCAAGTGATGATTCGTCGATTCATTTTCACGAGATAGTCCACATCTGCAACTGCTTCCTGGGTTATCACCATATGCACTTGACCAGGTTGCGGCCTGTCGTCAGTACTGCTTCATCCACTACGAAAATCCTTAAGCCAACGGAATACTAATCTGTGTTTCATACATTCCATGCCATACACAGTTTGCATTCAACAATAGATTTCAGAAGCACCCACATTTCCCACTCTTAAAAATTGCACAACAACGCATTGACACCGTTTGGAGGCATTCATGATGCGAATAATGCCTCTTAACGTGCTCTGACACTATCACACACGCATCTGGTAAGATCTGACGATATCCCATGCAGTCCCAGCACTCAGTGCCCTCTATAGGTGCATGCACAATCATATTTCTCTTCAAATAGCAGAGTTATTACAGCAATGCTACTTTCATTTGAACAACCCTTATACAATGCCCTCCAAAAGTTATGGAACAGCAAGTTTTTCAGAGCTCACCATTACAAAAATCTCAGTAACGTTTAAATTCACAGTTCATATGCATGATAGTAACAAAGTTTATGAAAATATGCGCAAAAACAATAGTTACCACTTTTTAGCTATATGATGAATGAATAGTTGAAGAAAAAATGCAAAAAATTGTTAATTTTGTTCATGAGTGTTAATCTCAGTTGTTATTACATTTCGTAGATAATATCCAGGAGAAGTCGTTTGCCCAATTCTTTGAGGTGGCAAGCGATCGGATGGATGGAAATGGTTATGTCACAAGCTGATGCTGCTAGACATCTTAATGTCTCTCGTAGTGCAATCCATTAACTATAGAATCAGTTTGAATCTGAGGATTCTGTGTCTAGAAGACATGTTCCACACAGACTTAGAGTTACAACACCTGTGGAAGACTGTTATTTAGCTCTTTCAGCCTGAAGAAGGAGTAATATTACTGTGCCTCAGCTCATGGCAGATAATTTAGTGGCAACAGGAACAAGAATCTTAGCTACTATAGTGTGCAGACACTTGCACAATACAGGTCCGTATGGAAGATGACCAGTTGTTTTGTTCTCTTGACCCGAGGATACAGAGGCAACCGTTTATGTTAGGCAAGAGGCATGTCTCCTGAATCAATCAACAATGGGCGTCTGTTCTCTTCATCAACGACTCTAGGTTAACATTGGAGAGTGATTCAGTTGCCAGCTGATTTGGAGGCTACAGCGCACCACAACCAATCACACATTGTGGAAAGACACAGTTACAGAGGTGATGGAATAAGGGTTTGGGCTGGGATCTCTCTTGATGGTCACACTGACATGCACGTATTCCATGGAGTAACTTTGACCGGTGTGAGATATCGAGATAGATCTTTGATCAGTATGCCTGTCCATATGCTGCTGCTATTGGTCCTGGATGTCTTCTGATGGACAACAATGCATGACCGCTGTTGCTGAAGAATATCTTGATTGTCACTACGTGGAGTGGGTGGAATGGCCAGCTCAATCCACAGACCTGAATCCGATAGAGCATCTTTGGAACTACCTTGGGAGACAGGTTTCTGCTTTAAATCCTCTTCCAAGGTCACTAGATGAGCTTGAACAAGTATTAATCCACGTCTGGCCGTTGCTTCCCATTTCACTCACCGACAACTTAATTGACAGCATGGAATGTTATTACTGCCAATGTATTGTAGCTAAGGGTGGACACATTCCTTGTTAGAACCCATTTTTGTAATGTGACCACCCCATTTCTCCTCAAAAAACTGTGATATACTGTTTTCCAAAAATGGATTTCTCTGCCAAGAGAGCAATTTTTTGTTGTAATTCATAATTGTGTTATACTTTACAAACGTTCTATGTTGCATTCATTACAGAACTGTTTAGTGAACATGTCCTGTAAATTCCTTGTTTCTATATGGCTTCATTCTCAAATTAGACACAAAAAACATGCTGTTCTTTAACTTTTGGAAGGCAGTCTATATCAAATACCTTTGAAAAAAATTTCTGGTTGATTGCAATTTTAATTTTTTTTCTAAAATTCTTCAATTTTCAATGGTTTTTCAAAATTCTAAATGGTATATGTATATATATTCTATGTTCTTTGTTCTTGTTTTTATGCTGTAACTTTTCATAATCTGCCATTGGAAATAAAAAAAAAAGTAAGAGTAATGAAAACTTTAAAAAAAAAAAAAAAAAAAGGTTTTCATTACTCTTACTTTTTTTTATTTCCAATGGCAGATTATGAAAAGTTACAGCATAAAAACAAGAACAAAGAACATAGAATACAGCAACACAATATAAAAAAAGCTGTAACAGAGTCCATTAATCTTACATATGTCTTGCCTCCCAGTAATGCTCAGCGAGAAAAGTCTCGCGAAGAACAGGACAGTGGAGTAGACGTGCAGCATCCATCACCTCTCCAGAGTTGCACAGAGTGCATATCGAAGAAGGAACAATTTCGAATTGAAGGAGACAATATCGTAGGCAATCATGCCCAGTGGCAAGGAGAAATTCAGCGGCCGCTCTACACCTTGGGCCATTACACAAATCCGTGATAGCATTCTTCTAAGACTTATGAATACACGATGGAAGAGATCTTCTTGAGCACGTACTTTGAAAGATCTTTTTATAAGATCCCTAACAGTATGGAAAGGCAAAGGACGAGAAATATGCTGCATGATTAAAGCATCCTTTTTTGCCAGGAAGTTGGCTTTCTCCTTACCTGGAACCCCACAGTGGGCAGGAATCCACTAGAGGACAATAGTTTTCTCAAGTGATGCCTGGTTTTTTAGATAATGTCGACAATCCAATATGTCCTGTGGTATGGGAGTTTTCACCTGAAATAATAGCCAACAGAGCAGCTCGGGAATCACTGAGGGTAACAGCTCTTGTGAATTGTTCTAAGTGGCATGGCAGCTGGTACAGAGCTGTGCAAATCGCAGCAATTTCACCGTGAAACGCCACACAGGGATGTAGAAGGAGAGAATTTCGGAGAGAACTCCGGCACCTGCATTACAACCAACAGACAGGAGGGATCCATCAGTAAAGATCTGAAGCCACTCTTGATTCAGGGTAAAAAAATGTTTAATACTTCGATAGCAAGGGCTCTCAAAATAGAGGGATCCGTATTACTTTTTGACCCAGGTCAAGATTAATCCAGAAAGATTTCAAATTTATTGGATTTCATAACAAGTAATTCTGGTTCATTCATTAAATCAAGTGAATTTTTTAACTGAAAAACTTCCTGGAGAAATACCATCTGGGTCTTAAAGAGTTCTAGTCAGATCTTGATTGACTTCATTCCAGAGTGAAAGACATCCAGGAACTCTAATGATCTTTTCCCAGAGAATTAAGGCCTTCTCTTGAATTAGGGTTCTTAAGGGTTTATTGCCAGTTAACATAAACGTGGCGTCAATCGACCTGGTCTTTATGGCTCCAGATAAAATACATAAGAACTGATTTTGGAATTTTTCTATATTATAAACTACATTTTCCCCGGCCACAACAAGTGGATCACAGCAATAAGTCAGAATGGGGAGGATAAACGAATGATAAGTTTGGAGCAGGGTTTGTCTAGAGCAACCCCACCTTGCCCCAGCAAGGCATTTAAGGACATTGAGTCTCTTAGTAGCACGGGTAGACAAGTCATCTACATGTGGCTTTCATGTTAGTTTGTGGTCAAATATCACACCCAAATATTTTAATTTATTGCACAAGGGGATTTGGGTACCCTTATACGTCAGCTGAAGATTCAAAGATTGGTGCATAAGTGAGAAAGTCAGGCAGTATGATTTATTTAAGTTCACCTCCATATTATTAGTATCACACCAAACTTCCAAAGCATTCAAGGCAGCAGAGAGTTTAGTCTCTATGTTTGTCCTGCACTTTCTTGTTTAGAAACTGTTCCGAAACCCAAATCATCAGCATATAAGAGGCGCTTGATGCCAAAAGTCTCTAGCATTTTAGAAATCAAATCATTAATATAAATGTTAAAAAGGGAGCATCTATTAACAGCTCCCTGCGGGAGACCTGCTTTTAAGATCTTAGATTTTGATAGAGCGTTGTTGTACCTGACTCTGAAAGAGCGCTGGAACAGGAAGCCTCTAATCCAATCAAAATGATTTGCTCTAATGCATAGCCCTGACAGTTTCAGTAGAAGGCACTACCGCCTTACTTTATCGTAGGCAGACTTGAAGTCAATAAAAACTGATGTCAGGACCTGTCTGTTATCCAGGGCGTTCTTGACACGTTGACTCAGGAGGATAACATGTTGGTGGTTAGTAGATCTGGAGCTACTAAACTCTGCCTGCTTCTCGGCATGAAGTCCGCAAGTTTCTAAGTAATAATTAAGTCTTCTCACAATCATTTTCTTCATAGCCTTCCCCGTAATACTAGTAAGCAATACTGATCTATAGTTACGGAAACTACCACGGTCTTTGTCTTTCTTATGTATGGGAATAATGATAGAAGTCCGGCATTCAGCTGAAACAATACCAGTGTTCCAAATTAAATTGAAAAAGATTCAAGCAGTTTTAAATGCTTTAGGATCAAGATGGGAGAGAAACTCAGAATGGATTCCATCTTCACTAGGTGATTTACCACAAGGAAGGCTTCTTAGAGTAATTCGTATCAAGGAATGGGTGCTTCAAAAATTTAATCAGTAGAAGATTCAAATTCCGACTGCAGAATTGTAGTTTTTTTGCTTAACTCCGGACGAATGTATTTTTGCATAAGTGTTTTTGTTATTAGCTCTAAATATATTACTCTTATTTTATTTTTATTAAAAAGTATGTTACAAACAAAACTTAGCATTAAGTTGTGATTTGCATAACATGTTGCATAACATGAATAATATTTTCTTTTACAATTACAGGTGGACAAAATTTTGCATTTTCATTACTTTAATACACTTGAATTTGTCTTTTACTGTCTTTATGAATTAGATTCTAAAATGCATACTAAGTTTTGTTACATATATAAACAGGAATCTAAATTATAAGTTATATCCATTTTGAACAAAAATCAGCTCACATGGAGCATTTTGAAAATGTAATAATCATGAAAATTTCATTTTCAGAAAAACCCATTTTAAGAATATTTTTACATTTACCTTTAATACTTAGTTTTCGGTAATGCATATTTTTATTGAACATCTAATATTTTCATGTTATTTTATTTATGCATAATTTTTATTAATATTTAATATAATGGTAGGATGATGGTCACTTTTTGGTTTGTTATTAATTTAATGTAATGGTCAGTATGATTTTACAAATTTTCTCAAACACCTTGGGAAATTCAACTAAATAGTTAATTTTAAACTTCAAATCACTCTTAAGAAACCTTCAGCACCATAAGTTTCCTCTTCCTTATTTACATTTTAATTATGTTTAGCTACTTCACAAAGTTTTTTGGTAATTCACTTTTTCCCCTTTCCTTATATCCACTTTCTTCGCTTTGGCTTATGTGATGTTTATCTTACCTCTGTGCAATATACTGAATGTGAATTTATTTATTCCTGTTGAATACTCGAAGCATTTAAGCATTCAAAATTAAAGCCACTACTCAGTGTAATAAGAGACATTTCAATAATAAGTTGTAATAACAGACATTTCAATAATAAATTGTAATAACAGATATTTTTATACATTTGTTATAATGCACAAAGGTTAGAAATGTTGAATTCAGAATGTATAGTCACATTCTGCAAATCAGGTCAATTTTAACTGAACAGTCAAATTCTTTCTGAAACTACATCTAATGAATAACTGCAGCATTCATCCCATTTCGCATGACCACATACTACTGCTCATCAAAATATAAAACTATTTTTCATACACATTTTGACTAAAATTCGGTGGGGGTGGAATAGTTTCTTTAGCTTAGTTGCACTAACATTGCAGTTATAACTGATATTGATGTTCAAAGTTCATTACTAGTTATGTCCTCTGATGAAGTCTCATTCGCAATGTCAGTAATTTTTTTCTGATATATCAATGTCCATAGAAGACCAACTACTATGAAAGTTTTTCATACAGGCACAAATGTTTTTTGGGGCTCTTATATGGAATTAGACTTCCAATAACATTTACTGATAGCAAGCATTATTGATAATACTGATAACATTTTATCAAAGTGCCTTAACGTCGATAAAATGTTATCAGTATTATCAACAATGCTTGCTGATAAAACACATAAATAATTCACAAGATGATTGATAAAACACATTCACGAGAAAACTGTTACCAAAATAAAACAAATTCACATATAAAATATTATGAACAGTGCTTTTTAGCCCTGAGAAAGGCTTTTTTGTAAGATACACAAAGATAAACTGAAGAAAGAAATGACAAATATATAAAAATTAAAAAGTGACACTTAAAAATGTAAATAAACATGCAGAAAGAAATTAGGGTTACAACTAAGAAGAAAGTTTGCAAATGATAAAAAATATTAAGTTTAGAAATTAAAGTATTATAAAATAATATTTCTGAGATGCTGCTCAGACAGTATAGTGATTTGGGGAGACTGACTGCTATACCGAAGGGCCCAGGTTCGAATCCCAGAGAAGACATGTATGTAAAATTGTCCTTCCCTTCAATACGAGGTAACAGTGGCCACGTATTAGGTGACTCCGCAATAAAATGCCTACCACTTCTGACCTAGTAAAGCCAATGTCGTTATAGGCAAGTGCCCACCATTGGGGGAAAAAAATTCTGAGATATTGTATGAATGTTGTCATTTGACATTTAAATTACCCTTTAAATATCATCAAAAATATAAACAAATATATAAAGATGCTTATAACTTTTTTAAATAATTTTAGGCACAAGCAGTTTTTTACGGACGATACAATTAAAACCATAGAGTATTGTTATCAAATACTTTTCTCTAGTTTTTGACCCATTTTCGCTATTTTCATCGTCTACTGTCTACTGTTCACTTAGCGAATCAAATAGAAAATTCATTCAAAATAATAATTACACATTTTGTTCATGAAAAGTAAGAATATAAAATTTCAGAATTAAAAAAAGGGGTAGAATAATGCTGCCTGATTACTTACTTTGATAATGGTACAGTTTCTTTATTTCCATAATCAATATATAAAACTTCTATTAGTGGTTCCTTTTTCTTAAGTTTCTTTGCATCTGAAGATGCCACTCCTTCACCTGTATTTTGAGTTTCCTTTGGTTCTAATATTACAGTTACTCTTCCACGATACCATTTTTTATCTTGACTAAACTGAACAAGATATACATCACCTAAAAAGAAATTTTAAAAAATTACTATTTTTTAAATCAATTATAATTACTGCTTTTCAGTACATCATAGTTAAAAACTTTAAAATTCATAAAACATTTTTCTTGTAAGATATTGGTAGATAAAAATACATTGACTAAATAAAAGCACAAATTTAACATAAATTTCTATAAAATTTCAGTTTATTAAAAAAAAATTATAATATTTCATTGAAAGCTTCTTGATTATGCATACTTCAATCATTTATACAAATACTCACAAATATAATGCTTACTATTCATGTTCAAGTAAAAGAAATGCTTGCTAAATGTAACACAAATGATTTATACTAAAATTTTAGTCTTTTGTAAACATTACAAAACTAATTTTGGTATATACATATTTTTCTGTTGATTATTTTTAACAAATAAAAACTGTCATAAAAAATGTGATTTAGATCTAATAATGTATAAGGATGATGTCACAACACAATCATAAGATCTTTACCCCTTTCAGTAAACCTAAATTCTTGAGAAGACAGTTTAATTTTTGAGAAAAAACGATATCAGTTAATTGCTTGAAAAAGGATATAAATTAACATGTCTTTTTCCATCACTTAAAAAAAATATTAAAATTTGAGACCAGCCTTCTACAGAATAGCATGCAGTGGAGTATTTCAAAGTTATAGAATTCTGGTTATTGGCTGCATTAATGGCACAATATGCGACCTTGTTTGAAAATGGATTAACAATGGCAGTGCAACACGAAAAAATATGACAAGTGATTTAAATTTCCATATGCTATATCTGTCATTTGTCTATGTTGATTATCTAACTAAAGAATGGTCTGTTTCTTCAAATTTGCACCAAAATGACTGGTAAAGATTCCAAATTTAACCCAAATTTCACAGTCGATAAGGAAACGTGCAAGTACCTAAATTTTCTGCCTTCATGTTCAAAATTCAGAATGATGGCAATTTTTCCCTATCCAATTTTAACCTATAAAAAATATTTTACATGTAAATCATATTGAACTAAATATTAATTCAAAATGGGAATAAACATTAGTCATCAAAATAACAAATTTTAAAAAGAAAAACTTTTAAGGCAATTTATCTCCTATGTAGAACACTTTTACTAAAAACAAATTGCATCTATAGCAGCAATATAGCACATCATTTGAGCATATCAGCAGAAGATTATCATTTGCTCGAAAGCTATAGAATCCAACAAAAGAATTTAAAGGAATTTTCAGAAAGAAATAATAGTCCAAAAATGCCAGCAACATTTTAATGAATTTAGGTGTTCTCTGGATAAAAAAATAATATGAATCATTCTGCAGATTAAACCCAAATTTGACCTTAAACAAAATAAGGCTAGTCTCTGTTTTCTGAAAAGTGAGACTTGCTGCATTGTGCTTTTTGGGTTTGTTCAGTTAACAGGATAACATTCACAAGATTTCAGGTATGCAAACAGTGGTTTCTCAATCATGTACATGCAATATGCTTGGACACTGATTTTTGTGTCACATACAAAATTTGTTCCAAAATCTGCCTGTATCGACCAAGCTTTTCACAAAATATGCTGAACTATATGATAATCCAAAACTAATGTGTTGATACACATTTTATCCTGTTAGAAGTACTGCCAGATGTAGATTGAGAAATAGCTTTTAATGATATATGCTGAGGTATGTGACCATCTATACAGTCAAAAGTCGTTAATTCGGACACCCATAATACAGAATGATCTATAATCCGGACCTCAAAGCTAAAAACTTTCTGCGCATGGGCGTTTACGCGTGCGAGTACGACCTTTACGGCTGCGAATATACATGTGCGCATGCGCATAATACGTTTACGCATGCGCGTTTAATGTATGACGGACGGTATAAGCAAAAATTATCTAATTATCTATTTCAGTTAATGTTGCAGATTGTGTTGTTTAATTTTCGAATTGGATTCGGCTTATTATTTTTTGCAGACTGTTAGAGCAATTTTATAAAAGCAAGCTTGAACTTCCGATTATGTCAAATAGAATTTCCGATATATTTTTACTAATATGTAAAGGATCTACAAAGCGAAAGTATGTTTCGAAGTCCATTAAACAGAAAGTGAAATTGCTGCAAAAAATGGATAAAGGCATATCCTTTGATTATCTAATCATTCCGAAATATGTTTATCAATTTCACGCTGCTCTGCGGGGGAAGGGAAACGACACGGCGCGCAATGAATTGGAAGTTGATCTGTCAGCACTATCCTAATCTTCAGGGCAGATGTTTTTATTTTATTTAATCATTCTTTACTAAATGTAGTTTTTCATCTCGATGTACTCGGTCTTTGATATGATTTAAGTCAAGTTCCTCGTCATTATAATTCGCTTCCGATATTGAAGAAAGTGACTCAGAGTTTATTGAAAACAAAAAAATTTCGATTGACAAATTAGTCGGTATTCTCGACACAGCAATTATAGGACTTAAACAGCGGAACTTTGTAACTAAAGAAGAAATTATGTCTGCTTAATAGAATTAAAGAGAAAGTATTATCACATGAAACGAAGCAAATTAAACAACTTACATTGATAGAAATGTTTCATAAAGTAAACCAATAAATATTTAGCTTTTTCTTTTTGTAAATTTGGATACCCTTTAGATCATAATTGCTCTATATTTCATAAATTACGGTTTCATATTTTTAATTTTATAATTTCTGCATGCCATCTTACCAGATTTAAACTGAGGATCTATAACCCAGACAAATCGATAATCCGGAATCGTCAAAGTCCCGACGAGTCCGGATTAACGACTTTTGACTGTATTAATGTTTCAGCACACATTTTATCATGCTACAAGCACTGTCAGACTCTGTAAATAGTAATCCGAGAGATATGTAGTTTCGAGGCTACAATTTATTGCTTTGGTCAGGCAGAAACATAGGTCTGAAGTTGATAGATGATTTTGACCTGAAAAAGAATACCATTTATTATGAATTTACTAAACTGTACTATTCATTTGGTATATAAAATTTCTGAACCTCCGAAAATCAAAATTGCTTTTTTGACTCCCAAACTGTTATCTCTCTTTTTTACAATCTATTGCATTCCTTATGATATATGTGGTGCTCCTCATACTAGGAATGGTCTGACTAGATAACTTATGTCTTTGTACTTTCACATCATATTCTTTAGAAAATAGTAGTAATGCCCAGAGTAAATCCTTTTATGTGTGATTAACATTTGTCTGTGATTCCCAATTATCTCTAATTTCTGAGCATGAGAACATAAAACTATGTGACATTAAAGAATATATATATATATTGCTAGCAGTTTCAGATCATCAAATATGTTGTATTGTCAGGTGCTCAATAAGTCCGAAATGCACCATGACAAATACCTGATGCTACTGTTGAATTAGAACAGAAAAAAATTTACATCAAATTCTTTTTCCCTTAACCTCATTATTTCGAGCAAATAAACAAATTAGGAGGAGGTGAATCAGCTTTTTGCATTACATTCTGAATGCTGCAAAATAAATTCCTACAAATATGTTTTGAATATACATCAAATTAATTTTTTAATACTTTTTTGGAAGAAAAAAAATTAAAATAATAAAAATTAATTAGATGGGGCATTTCACAGCAATAAAAAAGAGGCACATTTTCTTTCTTTATGCAAAAGCAGCAGCACAGTAACAAAACAGATAGGAATTAAATAAAGGAATACTTTATTAATGATACAAAGTACACAATTAAATGTTTTTAACAAGTATTTATGCATATTTTCTAGAAAAATTTTTATTATGCTAACAGTTAATATGAGCAAAATACTAATTTTCAAAGCATATTCTTCAATTATATTTTATTCAAAATGATTTTTTTGTTCTTCATAATCACTAAAAGAACATTACATATGTACCTTTATTGGAACTACAAATAATTTAAATGTTTATGAAAAACTAAAGTTTCTAAATAACACCAAAATATATGCTCATAAAACTGCAACATAATACATAAAAATCAATATTTACTGATTTTGCAGTTAATTTAAAGTTGTCATCCCATGTAATTTCACCCAAATTTCATTGGCATAAAAAATATATGAATAAAAAATAAAAAAAAATCTGAAAACTTTACTTTAAAACTAACTTTCCTTTTCTTTGAGATGATGTTCTATAAATCATTTACCTATTAGATCTTAAATACTTCTAAATAGAATTTTTTAAAAGAAGTATTAATGCTTCCTTAGTAAATAACATTTAACACTTTTTTTATTGAAGACATGTGGCTTTTTATTACTCAGTACTTAACTATTTATTTCCAAGTAGTGTAACTGCTATAATTTCATATCACACAGAAAACCCTAAGTCATGCAAGCAACATTAAGTGAAATAGAAAATCATGCCTTAACAAAAACTACTAACTTAAACTTACGTTAAAATAAGAATTAGCAATGTATTTTGACAAATAAATTCTAGTCTTTATAAATTTGTTTACTTATTTTTGACATCAGCAGTAAAAAGTCTATTAGATTGAATTCAACATTTTCTTCCATATTTCTTTGCATTATATTTCAACTTAGTAAACTGCATTTGAATTTCAGAAGTTAACATTTCAAATTTTCTTTCCTGCATTTTCCAATTTACAAATGAAGAATGGAACATAATAACAATTCAAATCAGATTCCTATGCACTTCCAGGAAGACACAATGTTGCAAGATTTCATTTTGGTATCACTGAGAGAAACTCAAATCATCAGCACTGCAGGTTCATTGTTATTAATATTCTACCAATACCTGAAACACTTCAAACATGCATTCTCCCCTGCCTCCAAGAACTGTGTTAATAAAGCATCAGCTTTCCAGCATAAAAATCTTTCTACTAAACCTTCAGTGTACAGCTGAAATGAAACTGAAGTCTCAGTGGCTGCTGCAAACTCTAAACAAGCTCTTGGAAATAAACCAATCTTATAAACCAGTTCTTCTTCTTCTATAATCTCATTTTGGTTATTCCTAATATCAGTTTCAGGTGTGGTGTGGTGTATTTAATTATGGCAAAGCACACTAGGGCTATCTGCCTAAGGGGAGAGATGCCTTCGTGGAGGACTTTCTATGGGAAACTGGCTCGTATACATGTTACACATGGGAACCACGAAAACACCCATGCAGCAAGCCCGTTAACGGGATTCGAACCTTGGACTGAACTACCAGTGTTCAGTGACTTTACCGCTCGGCCGCTGATGGGCCCAATATCAGTTTCAGAATCTTTAAATTATTTCCAGACAGCTCAAACTATCTGCCTTGAAACAGGTGACCATCTTGCCACTTGTGTTACTGTCTGTGCTGCTTCTAAATGACCAATAGAAGATTTTGATTTTAGTGATTCTTTCAAATGATACTTTTGGTGCTACACAAAAAAAAAAAAGTTCTGATTGACAAACAACTATATTCAAACACTGAACTTCAGAAATTTGCCAAGAAATGTCCTGTGAGAAAAATACTTGCCATTCTTAAGATAACTTGTCATTATTTAAGTTTTAGAAACAGACTGAACAAATTGGATTAGATAGTGATAACTAGGTTTTCTTTTTCTTCATTACATGGGAAAAAAAACCATATTGATTGGATATGTGAAAATAATTTTGACACCAAGTGTAGTTGTGATCATTCTAGAAAAAGCTAAGTCCAAAGAATTTTTTGATTAGAATACATTAAAAGTTTGAAAAGCTAAATCTTAATATTTACTAATTTTTTAACATTTCTTTTACAACTGCAAATCCATTTTTCACTAGTTGATACAAAGATAGTTTAATAAAATTTAATCATCATTTTAAAATTTTTAATCTGTTATTAAAACTTTTTCTATCACCTTTTAATTTTTATCATCTAATAATAAATACTAAAATTAGTACAAAGTCTTAATAAATACTAAAATTAGCACAAATTCTCAATAAATTATGCAAGACAGATTTTTAATAAGATATTGCAAACAACACATTTAATCAGAAAATGAAAAACTTCTGCACTATTAAGACATTTTATTTGAAAAACTCAGTTCCAACATGATGCAGAAACTGTTTTAAAATTTAAAGACAAAAATTTAAAAAAACGTTTCTCTAAACCTTTGGCACACTCTGATATTTGCAGACTATAAAAATATTTTTTAATGAATTTAATAAGCATTATTTTATAAATATACCTTTTTCCACTGCAACCGGTTTATGCTTCTTGGGTTCTGCAAATCGACAGAATTTATCTATAGCTAATGAAAGAGCTCTTAATTTTTTCATATCAGAACACTTCTGTACCCAGAAACTAGAAGGACTTTTGATATGAGAAACTACAACATTTTCTGGTTGCACTAGCAATGGAGGAAAAGAAAGAAGTTAAATTTATAATAAGATTCTTCAAATTCTTCAACAAAAAATAATTACACAATAAGTTAGATTAATCAAACTTATTCTTCATAAATTAAATAAGTGATATAACTTCATAAAAATAAAATTTCTTAAAGACAGAAAAACAAGCTACTTACCACTGTAAATAATATAATTAAAGAAAATACACAAATAATACAAAATATATATATGATTATATTCTTATTTAAATGTTAAAACATAAATATATATGTAAGGAAAACAAATATTTATTTTTAACTGATATATATCATCTGATTAAGCATTCTTTGTACATAAAAAGCAAAAATTCTGGAAATCCTGTAAAAAATATTCATTTCTGAAGTTTAACAACTCTTAGTACCAATGTATGAGGTATGTATGACACAAAAAAAGAGACTGTGTAGCTTAAAAGAAAAAAAGTGGAGTTGGAAACAACTGTTTTGGTGACATCATTCCACACACCTCCTCTATCCATGCGGCCAGTTTCAACTTAATCGATCCCACCAGTTGGGAGTATTGCATCATTGAGTGAAAATTAGGAAAAATTCTGCTAGAAAAAATGTTTAACTGAACAGTGAATCAACATGAAGTTTCTTGTGAAACTTAAGGAATCAGCCACAGAAACATTTCAAATGTTAACTGAGGCTTATGGAGATGAAACTTTGTCTCGTGCACACGTGTTTGGCATAAGCAATTTTCAGGGAAAAGGGACAAAGCACACATGTCAGAATCAAAATTAAAGGCAATATTAATTGTTTTCTTCTACATTAATGGAATTGTAATGACTGAATGGGTTCACATTGGTAAGACTTTTAATCAACACTACTACATTGAAGTACTTCCTGAAAAAATTAGGGAAAAAAGGATACAGTTGTGGAGTGATGGATGGCTGCTGCACCAGGACAATGCACTCGCTCACATGGCCCTATCTGTCAAGCAGTTTCTGACCAGCAAAAACATAACTGTGATGGGACATCTTCCTAATTCACCTCCATGCAACTTTTTTTTTCCCTTCCCTTCAAGTTATATCTTGCTTAGAGGGAAGCCATTTTACCTCAGTTGAAGAGGTTCATGCAAAAACGGAGAATCTCCTGAAGGGCCTTCCAAAAACCTCGTTTTAGAATTGTTACCAGCTATGGCAGCACCGAATGCTGAAGGAAACTACTTTGAAGGTGATAATGTCACAGAAAACTGATTTTCTAAATACAATGATTTATTGGCCCAGTCTTTTGTGTGTGTGTGTGTCACACCTCATATTTTAATTATTATACCACAAAACATTATGTCATTACAAAAGGAATTTAGAATATAATACAATGCAGTTCAGGAAATATTTTAACATTTTAATAAATGTCAGGTGCACTGAATTGAAAATGAATTTATTAGTATCTAGCAATTTCTATTAGTACTTTGTTGAGAAGCCTTTTGCTGTAATTTACAATCTGACAGCAACCCCCATGGAGCAGCATGGAGTGAATCGATGATTTGATCTCATCAAGCATTATAATATAATGTCATACTTATATAATCACTGTTATTTTTTATTATACGTTTGTCTGTTAACTTTACTTTAATCTGTGGCTTCCTCAATTAATAAATTTTTTAACTGGTTCCAAAGGTTTTAGGTTAGGCTTAGATCAGGGCATTTTTTTTGCCCATTCTAGCAAAGCGATTTTATCTTACTGAAGTCCCCCCCCTTTTTTTTTTTTTTTTTGCACTAAATATAAATATGAGGATACACAGAGTCCTGTTGAAATATAAATCTCATTATCACAGAAAAATTTACAGATTAACAATACTAATTTTCACTGTAATACCTCACTGATGTATTTCCTGCTTTTTAAAGGACCAAATTCTTCTTAAATCAATTGTTGTCATACAGCCCCACAGCGTAACACTAAATAGGATTCTTCACATAAGTAGATATTTTCCAATTCTTTTTGTTTTGATATATTTTATTCTATCACTATCAAATAAAAAACTTCTGTTTTTGTCACTCCAGATGACACAGTTCTATCGTTATTCTGACCAAAATTTTGAAGTTCACATCAAACAGTTATAGAATTTGACTTGCTTTGGGAGTATAAACAAGTTCCAAACTCTAACACACAAATTATTGCAGTGTCTGAAATTAACTACAAAGTCTTGAAAGGGTTTTAAAGCAAATCTTTTTTATTTAAACACAAGCTCTGAACATAAATGTAGTTCTGGTTCAACATCAACCACCACTTCTGACAATATAACTAAAATAACAGTCATATTCAAATTAAAATGTGAATTAGTAGTTAAAGACCACACAATTATAATTTAAATCTATGTAGCTCTGGAAACTCTAACTGGGGTATCAGTTTAAATGACAGCAGCAAATAACACCAGGCTGAATAATTACAAACTTATCAGAGATGGCAAAACTAAAGTAACGTGCACCAGAGAGGCAGAAACACACCCTTTCTTAGAATCTCCAAACCTCAGCTTAAATACTCTCTTACTCATTTTACATTCTGGTGAGGAAAAAAAGTAAACATCAAAGGGGGAAGAAAAGATCTAAATCATAATAACTGGTTAATTCAAATAGCAACCCTACACAGACTTTGCACTTATGCTTACACCACATAGGTAGATCCAGAAGCTTCAGGGCAGATATAGTTCTAAAAAAAATAGAGAAAACTTTTATACAGTTTATTACAATCTTCTTGTACTCTGATAAACTTTTCACACTGTTTAATGAGTAACTCTTTGCTCCTAAAGAAGTAAAAGACATCTGAAGCTTTGTCCTCAAAATGTTCCAAAATTGCTCTGTTCATGACATAAACATTGTTAAATCTCATTACACAAAGGCCATATTTCAGTCAGGAGAACAGATAATAATTACACTGAGCTAAATCTCGGTTGTAGGAGGCAGACAAGCTCCTTAAACTCACATTTCTTTACTACTTCATTAGCAACATCAAGTGAATCCATTGCAGCATAATGGAGTGAAGATGAAAGTGGAGAAGATGAAAGTCACAGATTAGAATTATACACATTTTCTCTTTAATTTTATTTTACAATTTATGCAAAAGGCTGGCACATCATTCCCCAATGATTATTTCTTTCTATAAAGTCTATTAGGAAGATTTCTTGACAGTATCAAAAAATGGTGCCCATTACTTTTTTGTTGATTGTTACACTTTTACTTTTCTTGATGGTGCTTTACATGGCTTTCTCTGAACCATTGATTCCCTTTTTGATAAAGAATCACAGTATAAGACTACCGTTTCATTACTAGATATGATGGACAATAAAAAAATTCTCTGATTTGCAATGTAAATCTGCAACAACTACTCACAGCAAATGCCACAAGCCTTTCTATAATATATAACCTCATGAAATTTTCTTCAAAATAATGGATCAAAACTTACAAATACATATTTTCCAAAAGGCTTTTACAATTTTAGCAACTGTATATTTTGTTCTTTAAACTAAGCACAAATGCTTAAGACTTTTTTTTTTAATTTATCTTTATGATAGATATGCACACACTTCCAAATAAATACTAATCAGTTTCACTCCATACATTACTGTTCTTAAAATACACACATGCACATATAAATATATATATTCACTCCATTAAATTACTGTTTTTAACATATATATATATATATATATATATACCAAAAAAAAGGGGGGCGGTCTTCATAAATTACATACTAGGTGGATCTAAAATAGACAGCACAACAAATTTTTTACTTCTATAAGAACAACTAAATAAAAATCATTTAATTTTTAAAATAGATCAGTTAAACAAAACAGAAAGTACTTGATGTAAACTTGAAGATATCTAAAAGCATGGAAAACTGATTCACGTAAGTGGACCATACAACTAACAAAAGCACTATATTTTATAACTTATTAATTTTATTTTGGTTCAAATTTCTGCTAATCATCAATAAAATTTTATCACCAAACAATAACTGATCATCAATAAACTACATCATGAAAGACAGAAATTAGAGAAATTTAGTATTCTCCGGTAATGTCAAATCATACCAAATATATTTTTGAAAGACAAAATATTTAGTTATATTCTTATATATTCAGACCATCACCAGTTTATGTCGACAAGCACTTAAGCTTTGGTGGGGGCTGAAATAACAAGTTGAGAGAGAAGCGACAAAAATGCCAAATCTTTATTCTGCCACAAGAGATCAAATGCTGAGAACACACAGTCAAAGAGAAGTAAAAAAAATCAAATGCCGAATCATTTAAATTGGAGAGATTGAAGTCATACAGCATCTCTTTGTTAGACTATGCTGTTTGTCAGTCTCATGCAAGATTTCCTAGCTCATGCAATGTTTGCTTAGTTTCTACTTATTTATCCTCAAGTTACATGCATTAACTGTGACTAAATGAGAAGACACTTTTCTTATTTTTCTCAAAAAAAAAAAAAAAAAAAAGTATAAAATATTTCATGAAATCATTTTTGCTAAAATTAAGGGCAGTACATGTTCGGATAACAGATGATTAAAACAATTCGATATTTTAAAAATTAGCAATGTACAGAAATTAATTATGTCATTAAAATCAAAACAGAAACTCATATCAAAACAGGCCTTGGAGGAAGTTAAATACAAAAATAGTACATATGAAGTTGCAATGTATTTACATTTAAGTAAACAATGTCAGATGAAACATGATACACTTAAAAAGGGTACTGCATTAGAACCAATGGCTAGTTCCGAATTAAACTCAAGATGTAGAGTTAATCTGCAGTCACAAAGGGATAGCAAAATAAGTTGATAATGGTATATCAAGGTATTTTAATGAAGTTTATCCAATTATAACCTATAAAAACTAAGACAGCTGAAGAAACAGCATATCACCTTTCTTCAAATATTTTTAAGAATTGGTGGCCCAACTATATTGCATTCCGATAATGATATGGAATTAATTCAGTAACTGTAACTATTTCCAAACTATCCCC